GGGGGGGGGGGCCTTGGTAGCCAAGGATAGAAAACAGGGGCGATGCATGAGCCGACCAAGGCAAGGGCAGGGCGTGTGCGCAGAGCAGCCCAGCGTCGCTACATTTAGGACCTCGGCAGCCGCCCGGCTCATCTCTGTGAGAGAGAGAGGTGCAGCGGCATCCGTGCCATTTCTGCGATTCCTGGGGGCGGGGGGCGGGTGAACGTGTTGGTCTGGCGTGCGGAGAGCGTGCATGGCAAATGCACCTCCAGCCGCTCCAAAATTGGCTGGGTTGGGCTGGGCTGGGCTGGCGCTTGTTATCGGCTCAAAGTCGAAAGCAGTGCGCGTCATGGAACGTGCTGCATCTGCCCATCGCTAGGCATGGATGTTAGTTTGCTGTCCCCCGTCGCCTTCTCGCGCGAGTCGAGTCCAAATTCTGGAATTCGGAACAGGTCGCCCTCGTCGGTTACGGCGATCCGCGTCACGTCGGCTGTCACTTTCGTGATGCTTTGGAGGGTCTGTTTATCTCCACTGCCACCATCTCGAACGCACCGCTTCTCGGCTTTCCTGGATGCCGACTAGCAGGTGGAGCTTCTGTCTGTCCCCGACCGACAGATTTCGCTGCGCTCCACTCTCCTCCGACACATGCGCCTCAGTGCGTGCATAGCTGGCTCCTTCTGCACGGGCCCTTCCTGCGCCGCGCCCAGTCTGCCCTTCGCGGCAGTCGCATCATTACGGCTCGTTCGTCTCCTTGCGCATGTCGGTTCCGCATCACGACTACTCTTCGTTCATTGTTCCGAGACCCGACCCGCTCATCATCGCATTGCATCTTCCGACACAGCACGCACTGGCGTTTCTTTTGTCTCCCTTGCGTTGCGCGAGCCGCTGACCGCCGCGTGAAGCTCTCAACATGGGTGGAAAGGACGCCAATACCGGTCTTTCCAGGAGCGCCTCGCGTGACGTTGGCGCCTCGGCCGGCATCCACTCCTCAGCACGAAGCAGCACCGGCAACCCCTTCTATCGCCAGTTTTTGCCATCCCTGCTGTCCAACATCTCGCCCAATGACGCGATACCGTCGCTCGACGAGCTTTCAGCGCTTGCCAAGCATCTCGAGAGGATCAAGGCCGAGTCTTCCGCGCGTCTAGCGCGTCTCGAGACGCGTTCGTCAGATCCTTTTAAGCCGATCTTCTTCTCAGCTCCCAACGACCTCTTCAGTCCTCCTGGCTTGCCTAGCGGTCCTGCCAATCTCTACTCGGACTCTTCAAGGCAGGCTTCTTCTGCCGGCTCCGCTTTCGCCTCGATTTCAAAGTACCAGAAAGCGCGCGAGCGCTCCTTTGCATCCCCAGCTCCTTCCGCTTCCGGCGCCAACGTCGGTGGATCCACCAGCACTACTGCTGCAGGTGGGGCCTTTGCTTCCAAGAACAAGGTCAAGATCAAACGGGAGAGGGACAACGACAGCGCGCCGGCGTCGTCGCTCTACTCGGATGTACGATCACCAAGCAACGCAGCCAGCAAGGCTAACGCGCGCAGCAAAGCGGCTCGGGCACACAGCTTCGATGTCGGAGGCGATGACGAGAGCGTCGTATCGACAGATCCGGAGTGGGACCTCGATGAAGACATGCCGAGCCGTCCTGGGCGCACATACGCCAAGAACAAGAAGCGCAGACGCAAGGATGTCGATGCCGACTCGAACGAGGACGAATCTGGATCCGAATTCGAAGCGGGCGCCCTTCTCGGTGCCGCAGGCTCGTCACGAAACGCCGCCACCTCCAAGCACGTTGGCTCGTCTGCTTCCGCGTCCGCAGCCCGGACAGCAGCTGCTGTTCCAGGCTCCATCTCTCGCAGAGGATCCGAAGTCGACACTTCGTCTGGCGGTGTCGCCACTCCCAAAATCCCCGCCATCGGCATGCGTCTCAAAGCCAATGCGGCCTCTCAAAACGCACCAGGCTTTCCGCGCAAAGCTTCGGATGCGACCCAGGTGTCGACGCGACGCAACAGCGTCCTGCCCTCGCCTTCGCCGCTGCCTTCGACTCCCGCCCATCTGAACGCAGCCATGGTGGCGCCTGTGATCTACCAGCCTGCGCCGGGATGGGAGCTGCCAGCTCGTACTCCTGCCACATTCATGCCCAAACTCGAAAAGTCGCGCAAGCCAAGGGCCTATCCCACCAAGCCGCAGCAGGTCAACGAGGACTTCGCCAACAAGGACTGGAAGGAAAAGGAGAGGGAGCGCGATCGGCTTCTCGAGCGCGAGAGCATCGGCCCAGGCACCCCAGGAGGACCCGGTCCCGGCCAGAGCATGGTCAAGGAGGCCACGACCGGAAGGAGGGGCGGCAGAGATCTGCAACAGACGCCCATCCACACCTTCTACAACTATGCAGACGCATTCTTCAAGACCTTGACCGAGGACGATCTCGCCTGGCTCTCGAGCAAGTCGGACGACCACGAGCCATTCCAGATGCCGGCGCTAGGTCGACACTACAAGCAGATGTGGGAGGAGGAGGACGCTTTGATCGCCAGCGGTGCCGTAGATGCGTATGGGAATCCACTCTCGACGCTGTCGCGTTCGCCATCCATCAGCCTCGGCGTCGGCGGAGGCCTTCCGCTCGATGCATCATTACTAGCAGCCTCGCGTTCGGGTGGAGCGGACGAGAGCAAGCTGGCTCAACGTCCGGAGCTCGAGATTCCGCCGCCACCCTCGTTCCGGACCAAGCAGATGACCGACGAGCATCTTGGCTTGGAGTCGCCCGCTGTGGTCGACGCGCGCAGTGGACCGTTGGCCGAGCGTCTGGTAGCTTCCCTGCTACCACCTCGTCAGGACGCCGACGACGGAGACGCGAGCAGAGCGACGGGATCTGCCGATGACGGCGGATCCGCACTCCCGATGAACGTCCTGGCGCGCCTCAACGGACATGCCAAACACGAAGACGAGACGGGCGATGACGAAGATGCCGACGGCGAGCCCGACCTGGATATGCAAGGGGTGGTGGCTGACCAGGACATGGCGACTTTCGAGGAGCGGATCGCCAAGGAGCTCAAGGCTATCGAGGTGCTGGGTGCGGACGAGGCTCTTGACTGGTCTTCGCGCCAAGACGACGAGATCTCAACGACGCTGAGGATGGTGCAGCGCGAGCTGGCACGCCAGCAGAAAGTCAACGAGATGCGCAAGGACCGGCTGTTCGGCATCGCCAAGGATCGCATGGCGCACCAGGACTACCTCAATTGCCTACACTCGCTGGAGAAGGAGATCGAAGCGGGATGGACCCGGAGACTGCGCCAGATCAAGGCGAGCCTGGGCAAGCGCAAGAAGGGCGGCCACGCTGCGGCGTCGCATCACGACGACCTGTCCCAGCCCGGCGCCAACGGCATCCAGTCCGCCAGCGGCACGCCGCAGCCTGGAGGCGTGCCCTACAACGGCCCCGTGCGTCCGCAGCTGCCCGAGAACCTGGTGAGCGCAATGGAGAAGCGCAAGAAGCTCCAGTTTGCGTTCAAGGAGCTCTTTGACGAGGCCAAGCATGCATGGCAGACGCCGACCGAGAGCGTCTATGCAGATCTGCACCTGGATGCAATCGAGTGAGGCTTGGTGCTACCGAAGGCCTTCAACATATTTCTGCCTGCCTTGCCCTGTCCCGGTCTGTCATCTCGGCGTGCGTGTGTGTGAGAGAGAGAGAGAGGGAGACGCCGCTGTGATGCAACTGCCAGAATCAGTATGAACGGCGATTGGCAATATGGCGATGTGAGAAATCTTAACCTCACAAATCTTGTGTCTTTTTTCCCATTCAGCCCTCCAAGAAAACCAAAACGATTCAATCCAGCCAACGCGCCACTACTGGTCGGCCAGCTGGCAGTGGCTGAGTGTAATCGGCCGTGTATTCATCGTGTTGTTTGGCCATCTTCGATCGCGCTCTAGTTGGATTTCAGCCTTTTTGGGTCAAATTCGTGCCATTTTGCCTTGGGTTTCAGCGCTTCTCAGCGCCGCGCCGCACGGGCTTCCAGGCAGACCGCCTCGTCTCGTCAACAGGCTGGGTCGATTTCTGGCTTGCCAGGAGGCAAAGTCCCTCTGCTGATACCGAATATGCCTTCCCACGGCTTCTGACCAATCTCCTCTACTCTGCTGCTCCAGGCGAGTGCCGCATCTTGGCTGACAAGGCGCAGATGGCAAGGATCTGTCTTGGCTTTGCCTAGATTGCAAGACTGTGTGTGCAGACTCATAAAGGTGTGTGTGTGCGTGTGAGTGTGTGTGAGAGAGACAGAGGGAAAGGAGAGAGAGAGGGAGAGGAGATGGCTGTGCGTGGGCGCGTGAGTGCATCGGTGTGAGGGCAGGGGTGGATCGGCTCGTGCGTGCGCGTTTCTGAGTGGACCTCCAAGCGTAGATCGCGTCGAGTTGATTCCACACCCAACTTCCGCAACCCTCCTCTCCACCATCGTCACCCTGTGCATATCTGTATCGCATTCTGGCATCAGCTCGTTCTTCGATTCGCTGCCTCAACCAACACCCTCGGCTCACGCTCACGGCCACCACGCTTGCCGATCTTGGACGCGACGCGACTCGACCTCACCCGACTCGGATCTAGGAGCATCCACGTCCTATCTTGCTCGCTCTCGCTTGCAGCTGTAGTCAGCACCTCAAGGTCGTAACTTCACACTTGTGTCTCACTTGCGTCTCAGACTTGCCCAGCGATCACTTCTGCGCACCTGTTCAAAGCCAAAGCAACACCGGCTACGATCATCAGCATAAGCGCACGGAACAACCCGCCCACCGCCTCTCACAGCACCCTCTCACATTCAACAACGGACGACATGGAAGCCGACGAGCAGCTATTCCCCATCGCGATCTTGATCGACGAGCTCAAGTCGGATGATGTCACACTCCGACTTAACGCCATCCACCGTATCTCCACTATCGCCCTTGCGCTTGGCCCCGAGCGCGCCCGTGACGAGCTCATCCCATTCCTTCAGGACTCGCTCGATGACGAAGATGAGGTTCTCCTCGCACTCGCGCAGGAGCTCGGCTCCGGTTTCGTAGAGTACCTCGGTGGGCCAACATATGCGCATCTCCTCCTCGGACCGCTTGAAAACCTGGCTGCCGTCGAGGAGAGCGTCGTTCGCGAAAAGGTAAGTCTCTCTCCGTCGATCTAGAGAGTCTCGTACGCAGCGATCTGACCTTTTCTGTCACCATCGTCGCTTCCGCTGCATCTCTGCACCGCATTCACATCCATCTTTCTCTTCGGGTGATCTAGGCGTCCGAGTCGATCGTCAAGATCGCCGAGGTTCTCTCCGAGTCCCAGATCGAGGAGCACTACATTCCGCTCTTGAAGCGACTCTCGGGCGGAGACTGGTTCACCTCGCGAACCAGCTCCACCTCGCTCTTTTCTGCCGTCTACCCCAAGTCCAAACCAGCCACACAAGAGGAGCTCCGAAAGATGTTCACCGCGCTTTGCAACGACGATACCCCCATGGTCCGACGAGCCGCTGCCCGCGACCTTGGGCCCTTTGCCAAGAACCTCTCCAAGGACCTCGTCGTTTCAGACATCATCCCCCTCTACCGAAAACTCTCCTCAGACGACCAGGACTCGGTGCGTCTGCTCACCGTCCAGGATCTCATCGCCATCGCCGAGTCGCTCAGCCACGACGAGTCCAAGAACTACCTGCTCCCTTCCATCCGCAGCGCCGTCCAGGACAAGAGCTGGAGGGTCCGATACATGGTCGCCGACCACTTTGTCAAGCTCGCTTCCGCCGTCGGCGAGGACGTCGTGCGCGACGAGCTCGTCATGGCCTTTGTCCACCTGCTCAAGGACAACGAAGCAGAGGTGCGCACCGCCGGCGCTGGTCAGATCCCCGGCTTTGCCAAGCTGGTCGACCAGGACATCATCCTGGCGCGCCTCATGCCCTGTGTGCGCGACCTTGCGGGTGACAACTCGCAGCACGTGCGCGCGGCGCTCGGCATGCAGATCTCGGGCCTCGCGCCTCTGCTCGGCAAGGAGGCCACCATCGAGCATCTGCTGCCTCTGTTCCTGCAGCTGCTCAAGGACGAGTTCCCGGACGTGCGTCTCAACATCATCTCCAAGCTGGAGCAGGTGAACGAGGTGATCGGGATCGACCTGCTTTCGCAGTCGCTTCTGCCGGCCATCGTCGAGCTCGCCGAGGACAAGCAATGGCGCGTGCGACAGGCGATCATCGAGTACATCCCGCTGCTGGCCAACCAGCTGGGCGTGCAGTTCTTCGACGAGCAGCTCAGCAACCTGTGCATGTCGTGGCTCGGCGACACGGTGTTCAGCATCCGCGAGGCGGCCACGGTCAACCTCAAGAAGCTCACGGACGTGTTCGGTGTCGAGTGGGCGCGACAGACGATCATCCCCAAGGTGCTGCAGATGGGCACGCATCCCAACTACCTCTACCGCATGACGACGATCTTTGCCATCACCACCATGGCGCCTTCGCTCGACACATCGGCCATCACGGCGGACGTGCTGGAGACGGTGCTGCCCATGGTGACTGACCCGATCCCCAACATCCGCTTCAACGTGGCCAAGGCGTTTGAGGTGCTCTCGACTGTGCTCGTCAAGACGCCCGAGGGCAGGGAGGTGGTCAAGGCCAAGATCACGCCGGCTTTGGAGAAGCTGCAGGAGGACTCGGATGCCGATGTGCGCTTCTTTGCTCAGAAGGCCTTGGAGGCTGCCAACCAGCAAGCATGAAAGGCCAAAGATGAGTAAAACAAGGCAAAAGTTGTGTTTCCTTCTCCCGTTCTTTCCTCCCTCTTTCCCCCATACACTGTTACGAATCGGCGCTCTTGCAAGTTCTCCCAAAACTGTTATTGTTCTACCCGGCTTCTCGTGCGGTGTGTGTGGAGTCCGCTGAGGAGTGCGTGTTGCGATGCGATGCGATGCGATGGAGGATGTGCGGCGAGACCGGCGCTCTTTCTGCTGCGTGTTTGATGCTTGGAATTTCAGGCCTCTTTTTTTCGACCGCCTTTTTTTTAGCCCTTGGCCAGATTTCACTTCATATGACAGCACATTGGTGTCGTGGAGCTTCACTGACCCGTCGCTGCTCGCAACATTCACTGCCGCGCTGATCGCAGGAATACGACTCGGCAAAGCGCATACATGCAGGCCAGACACAATCAGGACTGCAATGCAGATTGCAAGCATCAGACTACGTGGGCGCTGAGAGGGAGGCGTCTAGGCGCTCTCGATGTCCTTGATGTGCTGAGCCGAGTCGCCCTCGTCTGTACACGGAGCCAGATGGAATGAGGATGCAAGCGAGCGGTGCAGAAAGCAAAACGAAAAGCAGGGTCAGAATCTGTGTTGCAGGAAGGTGGGGTCGAGACGAGCTTGAACTTACCCTCGTGCTTCTTGAGGATCTGTTGAATCGCAATGTAAGACGAGCGGCGCGATGGACAGAGGGGGAGCTGTTAGCAAGGCTCTAAACGAGCACGTACCGATGTGCAGGGATAGGGAGGCTTACCTGGAGAAGAGCGTCGACGTAGGCCTGCTGGGCATCCTCCTTGGACATGCCTTGGTTCTTGTTCCAGGCCTCCCACTTGTACTTGCCGGTGAGGTCTGTCGTACATCAGAAACAGGATGGGTAAAGAGTGGGTCAGAATAGACGCTCCAATGCCAAGACCTTCACACCGCCACACGAGGCTGCTTACCGAACATGCCGGGCTTCTTGGTGTTGACATCACCGATGGTGGCCTGCTTGTAGCTGTTGTGCGTACGACAGAGACGATAGACCGTCCGATGGCAATGGAAGCGGGGTCAGCGGCTGCGAGGACAATTGTCGATCGGGACGGACGACTTACAAGCCGTAGAACTTGAGCTGGTCGTCCTGGGTGGGCTGGACGGGGCCGTCCTTGGGGAGCGAGCCGACGATGGACACGGCCTTGTTGAACTTGGCTTCGACAGACATGATGATGCGAGTATACGAGCGATTAGGTGGAGGTGGTTCGGAATGGAGGTGAGAGATTGGATCCACAGGGACCGGCCGGGGGAGGGGGGCGGGGCGGCCAGGAGAAACGGCGAAGCGGCTGGACAGTGCGCACGGCCTTGGGTGTGTGCTTTTCACGCTGCACTGGTGCCCTGTGGGCGTGATTGCCCCAGCGATTTCGGCAGGATTTGGCTGAAAGCCCAACCCAACACTCGACCGCCTCGATCTGCACCTCGAAAATCCACTTCGGCTTTGGCGCTGCAGCCAGTGTGTGGAGGCGGCCGCGACATCAGACAATGGTCGCCTCGCCGACAAAGATGACGCCGTGATACACCTGTGACCGAAGCTCGAGTTGCAATCAAGTCACCCGCTCTGGCGTGACCACCTTTGGCCTCTTCGGTCATGCTCCATCCAAGTGGCCAATCGAGGGCTTGTGTAGCCATAGCAAGCGAGGGATAGGAGCCGGAAAGAGTCACAGCAACTTCGTGACGTTGCGGTGACGCGCCTGTGATATTCTCGCACGAGTGGTGCCCGATCACCACATGTCTCCCCGCCAGGATTGGCTGCGCTGTTGCGTTGCGTGGCGTGTTCTGCAGCGTCCAAAGCTCCGCCAGACAGCGCTCAGTCTCGGCTCGCGTCGCTGCGCTCATCGCCCTCCTCCAGCCAACCCTCATCCTGCTGGTCAACCCCGCTCGGTGCCTCGCCTCCCTCTCTCGTGCCGTTCGCCGATCCGGGCTCCGCTCCCGCTTCTCGACGTCGCCCTCCGCGCCGCAGCCGTTGCCCCCAACTCAAATTTCGCCGCGCGTCTCTGCTGCTCCTTCCCGATCCGCTTTTGCCGTTGCCAGGTCGCCTCGCAACCCGCTCTGTTGCTGAAGAGCACACCGACCATCGCCAGTTGCTGATCAGCGTGGTTGGCGCCCCGATCGTGACCTGAATCTCGGCATCCCTCCACGAAAGAAGCCACTCCGTCTCTGCATCTAGCCTCGGCCTCACCGCTTCGAGTGCCGCTTGCGAGCTTTCGTGTTGAGCAGCGTCGGTTGTCGTACCTGGCGCTTGTATTTCTGACCTGCCTGACCCGCCTTGTGGCACGACGAGGCTGAAGGATCGGCTCTGGTGCCTACGTTTGATCGTCTTGCAGTCTACTTAAGCAGACACTCCCAGAGGCAACGTGCTGTTTCTCTTCTGAACCTTCGAAACCGTTCGCAGACCTAAACCATCGCCGGTCTTGCGAGACCGGAGGCTCCTCCGGACGTTGGCGGACCCTTGTCGATTTGCTACATCTCTGTTAGGTGTTGAGTACACGCTTCGGTCGTCGACGCGACCTGCAAGCGCCACGAGCAACAGTCGCGAAGTCAGCCAGCCGAATAGGGCCACCAGGCGCGGCAGTCCCACGCAAAGGCACCCTGTCGATCTCACACCCCCGACTAAAAACGCCAGGGCAGGGCAAGCCTCGCACCGAGCGCCATGTCCAACCACCAAGACCCAGCTTCCGAACCTTCCCTCAGATCACCACGCCAATCCGCTGCAACAGCATCCACCCTTGCCGCTCCTCTTCCCACTCCCGGTTCGACGCACATCCTAACCTCCGAGAGCCTCGAGCATCCTGCGAGCGCCTCTACGGCTCTACCTGCCCCTGCTCATCTACCGCAGCTGGATCGGTGTGCTCGCGAATCGTCTTCCTCCCTCTCGCCCGCACCTTCATCAACACCTTCTGCACACTCTCCGCAGATCTCCCAATCGGCTCGAAGAGCTTCCGAGAGTCAAACTACACGCTCACATCAGATTTCTGCTCCTGCGCGCCCGTCCGCTGTTCCGTATTTTGGGCGATCGCCGTCAGTCCAACACTGCCCACCTCCGTCCGACTTGACTCGAGCGCCTCCATCGCCTCACCACCCTGACCTTGGTGGCCACGTAGCTGCGAGACCCGATTCGCTTCCGGCTCAACCTTCAACTTCGAGCGCGCAAGAAGGGCCACCGCACGCCTTCCATCCACGCCGATCTTCGCCGTTCCCCAGCGAAGAAAGCCACATCGCAGCGCACGCTTCACAGGCTCGTCTTCTTCCACCGCCATCGACGCCAACACCAGCTCACTCGGCCGCGCACAATCCGCATCATCAGCAGCACCAGCCAAATTCGCACGAATCGCATCCGCAAAAGCGAGCCAAGCATTCAGCGCACGCAGCTTCTCAGCACCCGTCTGCGCCCAGTCATCCTCAGGCTCACTTTGTCAACCGCCCACGCAAGCCCGAGCATCATCGCCTCGCTCCTCTACCGCTTCCGTCCCAGGTGTCTCCTCCTTGGCACCGATCCGGATCACAGCCCGTGCCGTCCAACCAGACCGGTCCAACGCGTGTCGCAGGTCGAGAGCATCCACAACTGCGACAAGCTTTTGCCTATCATCCGTATCCCTTTCCTCCCAACCACGGCCCTCCGCCTCGCCCTCCTCACATCCGTTCAGCCATGGAGAATCCCGCGCAGCTAGCTCAGGCTCAAGCCCAAGCACAGGCCCAGGCCCAGGCGCAAGCCCAGGCTCACGCGCAAATGCAGATGCAGATGCAGGCCCAGATGCAAGCGCACGCCCAGGCGCAACAGCAGGCTCACAATCTGCGACGAAAGAATGCGCAGGACATTCTCGTCGGCCAAGGCTTCCGCGGCTTGAAACGCGGACGTCCCACCGATCGCAGCCTCCCGCCCTCCCTCAAGCGCCAGGTGCCCGAGTCGGCCTTCTACGCGGATCTGCAGCGCATGGAGAAGAACTTGGACTGGACCGTCGCCCGAAAGCGTGCCGAACTTACCGACGGGCTCTCGCGAACGCCCAAGATCAAGCGAACCTTGCGCATCTTCCTTAGCAACACATGCGCCAACCAGCCATTCCAGATGGCAGAGAAGCAGAAGGCGAAGGAGCCTTCGGGCAGCGCAGCAAACGCATCGGCGGAGAATGCCGACAGCACCGAAAATAAGGCCGAGGGTGCTTTGAAGTCGGCCGAGTCCAAGGAGGACGAAGAGGAGGAGGACGCTGTGCCTTCGTGGACCCTGCGCATCGAGGGCCGTCTGCTCGAACCATCTTTCAAGTCGCGCGCCAACACAGCGCTTTCGGCACAGGCGAGCATCAACCGTACCGGAGCGCACAAGTTCAGCAACCTGGTCAAGACTTGCGTCGTCGAGCTTCAGCGTGATCCGGCGCTGTACCCGGACGGCAGCAACATCGTGGAGTGGCATCGACCCGTGCCTTCGGTCGCACCAGCGAGCGGTATGCAGGCCGGCGGAGGTGCCGGAGGATTAGGAGGCACCCAGGGCATGGAGGCGCCATTGGTTGCCAGCGCCGAGCCGGCATTGGACGGCTTCGAGATCAAGCGCAAAGGCAACGTCCCCACCAAGGTCAAGATCGTGCTCTACCCTGCCTACACGCCCGAACGCTACTCGCTCGCCCCAGAGCTCGCCACGCTTCTCGACATCAAAGAAGAGTCTCGCGCTGGTGTGATTTCGGCGCTCTGGTCGTACGTCAAGGAGAAGAAGCTCCTCGACGAGACAGATCGCAAGAAGGTCAAGTGCGACGCTGCGCTCCGATCGCTCTTCAACACCGACACGATCAACTTCCACCACATCCCCGAGGTCATCAACCGCTATCTGCATCCCGCGCAGCCGGTCGTGATCGAGTACTGGGTCCGCACCGACAAAGCCGAGTACAAGCACTCGACTGCGTATGATATCGAGCTTGACCTCGAGGACTTGGCGATTCGGCAGAAGCAGCACAGCGTCCTTTCGCAGTTCGACACCGCCAACGACGCCACCTCTCGCGAGATCGCCGAGCTCGACGACAAGATCGCCCAGGCCGCAGCGACGATTCGCAACCGCGCGAGCGCTCGTGACTTCCTTGCTGCGTTTGCCAAGAACCCGCAGGAGCACCTGCGCACCTGGATCGCAAGTCAGGCCCGCGATCTGGACGCAATCCTCGGCAACAACCCGGTGCCGGGCGCTGCCGGATCCGTATCCAGCTTTACTGCCGAGGAGATGCGCCGAGCAGAGACCTTCCGCGCTGCCTGGGTCGACGAGGCGGTGATTGTCAACGAGGCACAGAGACTCGCTGAAAAGCTGCAGGAGCTTCAGTCGCAAGGCGCGCAGCCGCAGCCAGGCCAGCCTTGAGTTGGACCTCGCACTCCTCTTCCCGACCCTTCGTATGTATCTGTAGCACCTGCCATACCACTTTTCAGTCATGTCACCCTCAGTCCGACGGCCTGAGTCATGCTGGACGTCACAAGGGGAGATCGAAGAGATGCGCATTGTTCGGGAGAAGATCGGAGGCTGCGAGTGCGAGAGAACTTGGATGCTAAGGATGCAAGAGACGAGGCTAGATGGAGGGCTCGAGTTGGTTCTTTGAGGAAGTGCAACTCGTACTGGAATGCGCAGAAGGGACACGATGCACTCGGTGCGCGGATCAGAAGCGCACGAAAGCAGATGCATAGGAGACAGACGAGTCTTGCGGCGAGGTGCACTGGCTGCTTTGTTCGTACCTGGTGAAGCGGCACTCGGACTTGATGCCTGCCGCCTTCTCGAGCTCCGCCAGCGCTGCGAGCAACACGCCAATCGGATGCCGGCCGCATACGGTGTTCTTCGTACTGCTCAGATACTCTGCAAACGCCTTTCGCGCCTCGGCTGCCGTCTTGCTTTCGCCGCCCTGCGTCCAGGGATAGGTGATGGCAAAGATGCCTTGTTCATCCAAAGCGCGGATACTCTGATGGATTGGAGCGCCCTCGTATGCTGATCGTTGCGTCCTTGCCGAAAGCATCGAGGCTGGGCTGTCTTCCGCCGGCTTGTAGTATGTGTACCTGAACCTCGTGCCCCAATGGCAAAAGTCGCTGGAAACGACAAAGAAGTTGCGCGAGTCATTCAGATACGGCGCCAGCAACTTTCCATAGACATCCTCGGTCTTGGTGTTGATCGCTCCAACCAGGATCGGCACAATCCGAATCGGCCTGCCTTCGAAGACCTTGTAGATGTACGGCAGGTGCATTTCCATGCTGTGTTCGTCTTCGTCCTGAGACTGCGTCATGGTCTCGAACTTGCCTGTCGCTTTGAGCTCCTCAGTCACTTGACGGTCGACCTCGAGATTGCCCAGCGGAGTTGCATATTGAGAGCAGCGAGAGACGGCACATCCGTCGAGATAGACGTGGTGCGAAGGGCCAAGGATAAAGACCCTTTCGATGGCAGCGATGTCGATGCATTTGTAGGCATATGCAGCTGCAGGGCCGGAGTAGGCATAACCAGCGTGCGGACCAATGATGGCACGGCAAGTCGGGATGGGCAAGGGCAGCGAACCCGACCTCGGATTGTGATCGCAAACGGCAAGTGGCGAGGGGAGCTGGTCTGCCTTGACGTCGCTGAGCCATTCGGTGAGGGATTCATCGAGTTCAGCCCGGTCATTGGTGTACCAACTGCCTGCATGTGATGCCTGCCTGATCGGTCCTGATTGGGGAGCCATTCTGGAAAAAGCTAGGGTCCTCAAGCACTCAAAAGAATGGAACAGGATCAGAGGCCCAGAGAGGTGGACTTGATGGTGTTCATGATGGTTAGGTCCAGTCCCAGTTACTTAGCCGCCTATCTTTTAGCGGACGCTTGGACCCTGCAGCTTGGCATCAGCCCTTGGCTCGTGCGTTTTTTTAAAATCTATGTTAGGCTTCGTCCTGCTTGTCTTTTTGTAAAATGAGCGCGTCGTCCGATCGGGAAAAATGTCCCGATAAGAAAAGCTCCTAATGACAGCACGTGATGCCTCCCTAAAGCTCGGCCGAGCTCAGTCTCAGCTTGCGCGCGGTTCTTCGCGCTCAGAACGCTGAAATTCAGATGACAGCCAGGCTGCCCAATGAGAGGCAGTTGAGAGCCACACACACCTGGCAGGCAGTCTCTGAGCACTGGCGCGCGCGAAGCTAGGCTCAGTCTGAGAACGCTGATCTGCAGATGCAGTCCTCGAGGCTTCAGCCCGCCAGTGCAGCCAGCTGCAGCGAGCGCCAAGCAGCGGCCAGACGGCACCGTTCAAGGTCTCGCCGTGCTCGTCGTCACTACCGTCTAACCACCAACACATATCTCAAGATGGCTTCCGCTAACATTTCCAAGAAGAGAAAGGTAAGGCTTCATACATACAACCAGACGCCTTTGCTTATCGCACACATCATGCTCGAAAGCTTTGCACCGACAAACCAGACGCTTCCCCGACAGCGCAACCGAGACCATCATTGCACCTGATTCGATATCGACATACCACCCAAATGATACGACCACCTAGCACGCACCAACATCGCCACGAATATTCATACCCAGACAGACACAGGGTGCATCTATAACACCGGAAGAGGAAAGCCGGATTCTCGATTGCATTGGAGGAAGTGGCGACCAAGATGGGATCGGAAGGCGGAACCCCATCACACCAGCACGAATTGACTACTCGCCCAGCAATCGTCCACGACAAAGGCTTATATGACTGCGTTCGTGGTTCCCGCCCAGTCTGCGAGCCCCGAAGCTTCATACCCAGCACGAGCACCTGTATCACCTCCAAAAACTCAGCACCTCCATCGCATTCTGCCGACAAGCGGGACATGACTCCACAGCGAGCTATGGCTAGCGAGCTACAGACCGCCTATCCGCTTTGACCTTTTCGGATTCGCCAGCGTTATCAGAGGGACCATCACGCTCTTGCAGGAAGTCTCCCGGACCACTCAATCACTGTTCCAGCAATCCTCGTTCCGGCCCCGACCTCGACCACCGTCCACGCATTCGCTTTCGACATGATGTGGTGCATGCTTGTGCAGAGCAAAGTCTGCGCGCCCACGACACGCTCGCTTGGTATCAATTCGCTGACCCCGCATACCTCCTAATTGCCTACACCTTAGTTTGTCGCTGACGGTGTCTTCGCCGCCGAGCTCAACGAGTTCTTCACTCGTGAGCTCTCCGAGGAGGGATACTCTGGTTGCGAGGTCCGCGTTACGCACGCCCGCACCGAGATCATCATCCGCGCCACCCACACCCAGGAGGTTCTTGGTGACAAGGGTCGCCGCATCCGCGAGCTCACTGCGCTCGTGCAGAAGCGATTCAAGTTCCCCGACAACTCGCTCGAGCTCTACGCCGAGAAGGTGCAGAACCGCGGTCTCCACGCCGTTGCCCAGTGCGAGTCGCTCCGCTACAAGCTGCTCGGCGGTCTCGCTGTCCGCCGTGCCGCCTACGGTGTGCTCCGCTTCGTCATGGAGTCGGGCGCCAAGGGTTGCGAGGTCGTCATCTCGGGTAAGCTGCGTGCTGCCCGTGCCAAGTCGATGAAGTTCACCGACGGTTTCATGATCCACTCCGGTCAGCCCGTCAAGGACTTCGTTGACGAGGCCGTCCGCCACGTGCTGATGAAGCAGGGTGTTCTCGGCATCAAGGTCAAGATCATGCAGGGCTGGGACCCCGAGGGACGTGCTGGCAAGCCCTTCCCCCTCCCCGATGCCGTCACCATTCTGGAGCCCAAGGAGGAGGCCCCCATCCTCGCCCCCGTCTCCGAGTCGCGCCAGGCCCCCGCCGAGGTTGCCGCCCCTGCCCAGGCTGCTCCCGCCGCCGAGGTCCAGGCCGAGGCTGCCTACTAAACGGGGCTCGCCTCGCGGCACCTGCACTTTCCCCTTTTGCAACTCTCGCCCTCTCTCTTGCCCCCGCTTCCCTACACTCCCCCCTTTCTAGTTTCGCATGCAGGATGAAGCGCTGCAGTCTAGCGACATCGGCGCCTCACTTGTCCCTTTTGGTCGTATCAACATGACCTCACGCGGACGCTTCGCTCTTCACGCACTTGTTCGCACCTTTCCAACGGGTGGTCTGTTGCAAGCAGCCCTCGTCTGGGATGAAAAATATCATCATCGGCCGTCGTGCCACGTTGCTTCCATGTCGTCTGCTTTGGTCTTTGGGTCTGTGTGATGCACGAGTGTCAGCTGCCCTGCGCTCGGCCCGAGATGGTGATGTTTGATCGGTCCGATATCTCGCAAGGGAATGACGAGGAGGGGGGCATCGAGGCCCATTTTGTTAGGGCGCAGACGGGCACAAGAATCCATTCTTAAAAAGGGCTGCTGCGGCCATGTCCAGGCTGCGGACCCGCGACTTGGCTGTTGGCCGCGGTCTGGCGAGCGACGATCGCTTTGTTCCACAGACGTTGCTTAAAGGAGCAGCACTCAGGAGAATCACGTCAAAGCACTGCAGATCGCACGAGCGATGAAAGATGATTCTCACAATGTCGGGCTGGATCCACGCATTCGGAAGTGATAAGAACAAGCAGAATGAGAGCAAAGGAGGGAGGAGGAGTTGGTCGGCATGGTGCGCGGCCGCCTCCCTTCCCCGCTCTTCAGGCCGGACTGTGGACACCCGTACGTAGCGAGTCTGATGATCGGCTCTGGCCTTGAAAAGAAGAAATTGAATACGGGCGAATACAAAAAGGGTGTGGCCCCCAATTCTTCTCGGCACTTCAAACGCGCAACACTCCGAGTCCGAGCAGAGCGAGAGGGAGAGAGAAGAAAACGAGCGCTTGCAAAAAAAGGGCAGCAGGCCTCCGAAAGCGTTGGGAGCGAAAAGAAGGGGGAAAACGAGGCAGAAGCAGAAGCAGAAGCAGAGCTAGAGAGAGCGAAGGCGAGGTCGAGGCGGTGGGCTGGTGTGCCGCTGGTCGCTCCCGTCTGGGCTGGGTGCAGCATCGCGATCGTTCGAGGGCTACCTTCTCGCTCCTCTACACACGATCATTTGTTGGTGTTATCGCATCTCCACCGTCTTTCTACGTCGGACAGTACGTGTCATCGTCCCCGCACACGAGACGACCTTGGTCGCCGTCGCACGCCTCTCCCATCGACCACAGCTCCGGCTCCAGCGTTGGTTCGACTTTGTGTTGGACGCAGAAAAGAAGACGAGCCGCTTGTTCCAACAACAGCCGGCTTCAAAGGCAACCCATCGCATCCAGTGCTGCCTTTGCATCTTCATCTCACGACATCTTCGTAGACAGAGCAGAGACCAGCAGAGCAGGGTTGCACTCTGTAGCACCAACAGCACGTTTGCACGAGCCGCTCGATTCCTTTCCCGAAGTCCAACCCAATCTTGACACGCTGCCCAGAGTCTTGCACGGTCGCTTGTTCGACCGGCACAGGCTTTGTTGGACTCATCGAGCTTCCACTGCCTCACCATCGACCCACAGACTTACACCGCAGTTCACTGACCAGCATCCCGCTTCCGTCATCTTGTCGCCCTACCACCTCCGACTTCATCAGACCGCTCTCGCCGTTCCGCTCCTTTTAGAAGGTTAGTTGCTTCCCCCTCATCACTTGATACGACTCTGCTCCAGCATCATGCAAAGTCGTCGTGCCTTCACAGCATCGCCCCAGTCTAGCCCTCATTCGTACCAGACATGCGCCCCGCTAGCGCCCGTCGGCCACGTATCTTTGCAACCAAAGTCTTCCGCCATAGGAGCGTCAGGTCCTACGACATCCTTCTGGCATCACACATGTCGAAGACGTCATCTGGTCTAGGCGGGGCTCGCCATGCCGAATTCCTGCTCGGGTCCCTCACGCGCACCGGTGTTCGGCCGCTGCCTCCGCCTGATGATCATTCCAATTCGATCGTGGCCAAAGCTGGCTGGCTCGCAAGCGAGGATAGACATTGCAAATCAGGGCAAACACGCGACTTTCTTGCTGCCAGTGTTGCTCCATCGAGCAGCCTCCTCGCCAACTCCATGTGCCCAAACTCATATTGACAATCGCCTCATCCCGACTCTTCGTCCTTGCACCTACACAGAACACACCTGAAAGGAACTAAGACGACCGCACGCAATGTCGGTCGCAAACAGAAACCCTTTCGCCATTCTTGGTGGTAAGTACGACGACTCTGCGTGGTCACATTCAGCGGAGAGTGCAACTCTCTTCGTACGGTGTCCATGCTTCGCCGCTAGACTTTTCCCCCTTGCGCTAGCGCACAATGCTAATCTTTTCGGTATAACGTCTTTCCTCCCATATCAGACGACGGCGAGGACGTCGCCGCCCCCAAGGCTGCCCCCAAGGCCGCCGCCCCCGCTGCTGCTGCCCAGCCCCAGCGCAACATCCCCGGTGCCGGCAACCAGCGCCGTGGCCCCGCCAAGAACAGCGCTCCCCGCGCTCCCGCCGCTGACGCCGCCGAGGGCGAGCAGCAGAAGGACGCCCGTAGCGGCCGTGCCCGCAACGGCGAGAGCCGTGGCCGTGGTGGCCGCGGCGGCCGCGGCCGTGGCGCGCCCCGAGGCCGTGCCTTCGACCGTCACTCGCAGACCGACCGTGTCGACTCGCAGAAGCAGGTCGCCCAGGGCTGGGGTGGTGAGGATGGCGAGAAGGAGCTCGACGCCGAGCAGAAGGCCGAGGCCGACGCCAAGGCTGAGGGCGCCTACTCTGCTGCCGCTGCTCCCGCCGCCGAGGCCGAGAAGGTGCCCGAGGAGGAGGAGGACAAGACCATGACCCTCGACCAGTACCTCGCTGCCCAGGCCGGCAAGAAGCTCAACATCGAGTCCAAGGCTCCCCGTGAGGTCGCCAGCGACGAGTCTGCCTGGTCCAAGCTGACCAAGCACCAGAAGGAGGAGGCCGACTACTTCGCCTCGACCAAGACGCAGAAGGCCAAGACCCGCACCCAGAAGGAGGGCAAGCAGGTGCTCGAGATCGAGCAGACCTTCAACCAGCCCGCCGTCCAGCGCGGTGGCCGTGGTGGTGCCCGTGGCGGCAGCCGCGGCGCCCCCCGTGGCGAGCGTGGTGCTCCCCGTGGCCGTGGCGGCCGTGGTGGCCGTGGCAACAGCGCCTCGGTCAACCTGGCTGACAAGAACGCCTTCCCCTCGCTCGCCTAAATGGCCTAGCGAGCCCAGCAGGCAAGCCATGGCCGCCGGGTCGCTGCGTTTGATGCAGTCCATATGCTGACCGATCCCGATGGTCCTGCTTGGTCTTGCCCTGCATTTTGACGGCGGACTCTTTTGAGCGATGGAACACAGGCGTGTTGCATCGCTCACTGCTCCTTCGCCCCCTCTCGGACATGCTTCGATCCCTGTCTCGCCCCTCGCCGCGGTGGCTGGGAGAGCGGATCGAAACGCCCAAAATTCACCATGTTCTGCACCCTGTCGCCGTCATCTCCCCCAAAAAGCAGATTGTATTCTTTCTCGTCGTCGTGATGTCCCCCTTGTTTGCTCGAAGAGATTTCCGTTCCGGACTAGACCCGCAGTGAGCTCGGCGAGTGTCTCGCGCCCGTCGCTGCATCGTGGTCCGAGACGACGAGATGGGACTGTGTCCGGTTGAGCCTGCCTCCATAGCACGGAAGGGTGTGTGAGCAGAGTAGTGGCTGCAACGATGGTGGGGCGCGCCAAATTCAGAGTGTTAGGGCGAATGCGCCTGCGGACTGCGATGAAAAGGCACGGCCAAGGTCGCGTCGTCGGAGCGCGTGAAGCTCGAGACAGGGGTCCTGCAAAAATACGAGGCAGAGGGAGTGTTGGTTTTGGCTGCAGGTGGGTTAGAGCGCCCTTGTGCCTCCACACAGTCGAAGTTGGATTTCAGCCTCGCAGCGGCGGTATTTTGCCGCGCTGGGCAGGAAGGATAGGGGTCAAAAAATGCAGGGTTGCAAGACTGCCAACTTGTGCGCATGGCCACTGTCGGAGTTGACCAGCTTTCCATCTGCACAGCGGCTTAAGACTGCTTCCCGTTCGAGCTAGCCAGGCTCAGTCTTATGAAGGCCTGCTCGCCATCCTCAACCTCCCTCTTCCACCTCCATCGCGCGGCTCTATCTGCCATCCTGGACCGCTCGTTGCGCTCTGTGCTCCTCCTTACCGGGAGTCGACTTGCACGCACAACCACATCCAGCTGCTAACGACACTCTCCCACTCGCACAAAGACTCCACCCTTACGACCTTCTTGACGATCCATAACGCAACACGATAGACAACGCAACGCAAACACCGAATCAAGAAGCTTCCGCCTCATCGAGGCCAATTCGCCTACTTCTTCGCAGTTATCCTAGTCCGACCAGCGTCCAAGCATGTTCGCACCTCCGAGCCCCCACATGGGCAATCGCCCAGCATCGGCTGCTGCTCATCACGGCTACGCTCATCCTCAAATATACGATCTTCCCTCTTCTCCCATGCCTCAGGAACACCGCCTTCAAAGGAGCAGCTCCTTCTCGTGGAAACCCGAGCTAGGCCTCCCGCCACCGCCGAGCCAGATCGATGCGCTTGGCGATTCCATTCAGCATGCACTCGTCCCGCATCGTCCTGCCTCCCGCGCCCGCTCCGTCTCGCCCGCCACACGTGTTCCCTCGCGTTACGATCTGGGATTCGGAGGTCTTGAAGACCCCACAGAGCACCGCGACCGCACCCAGGACCACATGAACATGGTCACCAAGCATCCCAAGGTCAAGGTCGACATCGTCCTCTCCAGCAACGTCTTCGAAGCCGGAGGAACCCTCAGCGGCAAAGTCGAACTTACCTGCACCACTAGCCAGCGCCTCCGACTTGGCCAGATCGCCATAGAGCTCGAGGCTGTCGAGCAGCTCACATCTCGCGACCATGCAGCTACGCAGCTTTTCCTCTACAACCGCACCATGTTCCAGGGCGACGACCTCCCTCCTTCCAACGCCGTCCTGCCCGCTGCTCCCATCAACGGCTACTGGACCGCCCGCAAAGGCCGCACCACTTTCCCTTTCAGCTTCCGCCTGCCTTCCTCCGCCCCGTCCTGCGTCACATTCGCCGGCAACGCATCCCTCCGCTACGGCCTCAAGGCTACCGCGCAAACCTGGTACAACGACGACAAGATGATCGTCACCGCAAGACGCGAGGCCTTTGTGCTCGAAAAGTGGTCCGACGTGCACAATCCTAGATTCTACGAGCCCGTCGACGTCGTCGGAGACACCCGCCTCTTCATGGGCGGCAATGGTGCTGTGTGGCTTGAAGCCGGCGTGACGGAGCAGCTCTTCTGGGGCGGCGGTCAGATGCTCGTCAGATGCGGCATCAAGAACAACACCAAGCGCCACCTCAGCGGCATCAAGATCGCCCTCGCTCGTCGCCTCATCTTCCCCGTTGGAAGCCCAGAGGGTGTGCACGAGAGTGCTGAGAAGATGTCGCTGGAACCTCGCATCACCGAGATTGTCCACGACCAGATCTTCAAAGGCCGTGATTACGAATTTGCGCCCAACGCCGAGTCCGTCTGCACTGCCGCCGTCGACATCCCCAGGGACCTTCGCACCATCCGCAAGACACGCTTGTTCGAGGTGCGCACCTATGCGCTGGTAAGCCTCTTGCTCGGATCCTTTGCCAAGGATTTAACGATCGAGATCCCCATCTACGTCGCACACACCGCAAGCGGTCAGCCTCCGGCACGCGAAGGCCTGGACGATCTGCACAACGCACTGCCGGTCCACTCGCTTCCCCAACGTCCTCACTCCTCGATGGGCCATTCGCATCACCATCACGGCCATCACCATCATGCGCATGGTGCGCCAGTACATCACGTTCACGGCGCTATCCCGCAGATGCAATCGGGCATGCTCGAGGTGGAGCGTCTCGCCGCCGAGCGAGGCTGGTCTCCGGCGCCTATGCTCAATCACCACAACCAAGCAGGACCCTCCGTGAGACCTGCAAGCACCGCACCGGGTATGATCCAGCTTCCTGCTCAAGCCCAACCGTTCACCTTGGGTCCAGACGGCCACGTGCAGTGGAATCCCACTGCAAACAGCTGGAACGCCAGTCGGCTCATTGCTCCGGCCGACGCCGGTCACACCATTCAACGCTCGATGAGCGCCGCGCCGGATGTCTTCCACAACATGCCGCCGGCCAGTCCGCTTCTTCAGGGTCACGGCGGTCAAACAGCGTGGGCTCTACCGCAGCGCTCCATGTCCGTGTCTCCAGGCCCAGCGCAGCATGTCCAGCCACCCGCCTTCGGCCACGCTCCTCAGCCGTCGGGTGTGCCATCACCGCAATTCGCCCCAACGGTCGACAATGGGCCGTCCCTGTCGGCTCCGGCGCCGTTTGGAGGAGCTCAACCGTCGCAGCCTGTCTACCAAGCCCCGATCCGAGAAACTCTCCCACCGATGCCAGAGCCGCAGTCGATCACCAGCGCGAACCTGGCCCAGTTTGCCACGCCACCCATGCAGTCGCTGCCATCCGGCTTCCCAGCTGGCGGCGCTTCGCCAATCGCTGGCTTGGCCACCATCGACGAGGACGGCGAGTCTCAAGCAGGCACAGTCAAGACGCTGCAGAAGCTGCCAACCATGGGCAAGAACGGAGGCGGCGGCGGCAAGGGCAACAGCGTCTCTCGCAACAACATTGCGCAATTCGAGGCGATGGCCGAGGCCGAAGAGGATCAAGAAGAGGTCAAGCGTCAGATGATTGCCATGGGCATGCAGCCGGACGAAGATGCTTTCTCGGCGCCGACGCAAAATCCTCCGGGAATTGCTGCGGATGTCCGGGCTGCGGATGGCTACAGCGAGGCCGTAGCAGCAAACTCAGCAATGTCGACCAACAGTCGCGTCACCGTCGATACTGCTCAGACATCGTCTGCTGCCTCTCAGCGGCCGCGCGCTAGCGACATCTTCCAAGACGTTGGGCACAGGGAGGTCAGCGCAGAGAAGGAGCGGTCTGCCCCTGTCGTCACGATGGCATCTGTCGAGCCTTCCGCGACGGTTGTTGAGCGTACGCAAGAACCTTCGGCAGACTCGCAGATGCGCAAGACCGGAGAAAGCCGCGTGAGCGAGATGCGTCGATCTTCCATCACGTCCTTGCGTCGCTCGTCTTCGTCGCAAGGCTTCGGTCTCGAGGCTCTGGAGACGAAGCTCGCGCGATCGACAACACCCAAGATCGGCTCCAGCTCACAAAGTACCGTGGTCATGGCCAATGTCGGTCGCACCGACAGCACTTCCAGCCCCCTGGCCTCCCCCATTGTCCGCCAGGAGGAAGGCTCGAGGTCGCGCAAGAACAGTGCTCTGCGCTCTGCGGCCCTGGCTCGCGAGGAGGCAGAACGCAAGAGCGTTGAGCAGCAAGCTCGAGCGGCCGAGGAGCGTGCTCGCCAGTTGGAAGCCGAAAAGGCCAGTCGCGCTGCAGCCGCCATCGCAGCGGCCGAGTCCGAAGCTGCAGCAGCCGAGCGAGCCGCAGCCGAGAGGGAGGCCAAGCGCATCCGTCAAGCCGAGCAGCAGAGGCAGGAAAGAGAGAGGCTGGCCGAGGAGGCGCGTCGACAGCACGAGCTGCGCAAGCTCGAGGAGGCGCGAGCCCAGGAAGAAGCCCAACGCGTTGCGAGGGAAGAGCAGCTCGAGCGCGAGAGGCAAGCGGAGATGTCGGCGTCCATGCATCGATCGGACGGAGGTTCGTCCGAGTTGACAGTGAAGCCCGAGACCGGAGCCATAGAGTCGCGCAGGCTCGGCAACATCGGTGCGGTCAGGTCACCTTCGTCGACGACCAGCTTGGAACGCATTCAAGCTGCGATCGCACCCGCGCCGAGCTCGATCGCGCCTTCGGTGCCGTCCAAGACGACGCGTCCGACCTTTGGCGCGCCGAGCAGAACCAGCGATCGGGATCGCGTCGTGCTCAAGCGGGAGGCGGTCCACCGCATCGATGGCTGGCTTTCCAATGCCGCCAGTCCGAACGCGTCGCATATGAACACGCCTGGCACTCCGAGCGCCTCGGTTCTGTCGGTACTTGCAAAGGACGAGCCACGGGCATCGGCTTCGCGAGAAGACGAGAGACGGTCGTCGTATTCGTACCGATCGCCTTCGCAGGTCATCAACCCTCTGTGGGAGGGCAAGGCAGCTGGCTCTCGCAGTGCACACAGGTCGATTCCAGCCTCGCAGACGATGGCAGATTTGGTCTCCACCAAGACCTCGCTGGCCAGCCAGAAGGCTGCAGCGGAGGACGACGAGGCTGTGCCGCAGCTGTCAGCCGAGCTTCGAGCGCTGGTTGACGGGTCAGAGATCCGAAGCGCTCACAGAACCAGCACAGCTCTCAAGGACAATCCGATCAGCCGCCGGCTTTCAGGCATAGGATCGACGCAGAAGCCCAGCGAGGCTGATGCTGCAACCGCTTCGGCTGTATCGTCGACGGAAGGGGCAAAACGCGAGCGTCACATTTCAATGCCGTCGTGGCCCCGACCGGGGACGCTGAATCTCGACGCTGCAAGGAACGCAGGACAAGGATCAGCTGCAGTCAGCTCATCGGAGCGCCGCCTGTCGCGCAATCCCGAAGCTCGAGAAGTCGCGATTCCGTCTCGCGTCGAAAAGACGCTCGCAGCGCCGATCTCGGGAGCCAGCGCGAGCGACAAGCAGCCAAGCTACGACGCACGTTCGGCTCGCGGAGGAAAGGGAGGACGAGTGGCATCGGTCGCACAGTTGTGGTCCAAGATCGCTGGAGATGACGAACCCGATGCGGCCGACGGTGAGAGGGGCTCATTGGCCGCGCCGCAGGGCGATTATGGGCCACGATCTGCTTCGCCGTCGAGCGCATCGACAGTGAAGCCCAAGGCACGCCGATTGTCGTCCGCAAGTGGAGGCGCTCCTGCATTGGACTTCAGCAAGAAGGCCGCGACACCCTCAGCCTCGGTCGGTGTAACGGCCATCGTGGCTACCTTTGGTGCCGCTTCGAGCGCGTCGAAGCCGCAGTCGCTCAAGAGCTTCACCGCACCGCAGTTCCTTAACACGAGCGTTTCGAAGCCGGTCTTTGCCAAGGTTGGCGCGCAGCCTGCGCCCAACTCGGCTGCAGAGGCGGCTGCGACGGCGGCAAGCAAGCCAGAGAAGCGTCCGTTGCCAAAGCCGGTGCTGGAGCCTGGAGCTGTGCCGGCACCTACGCTGGTGCGACCCACAGCCATGCGTGCTTCCAAGGCACCGGCTGCAGAGCGCTCGTCGCGAAGAATCAGCACGCAGCTGCTGTCGACCTTCGAGAAGGAAAAGACGCCCAAGCTCGAGCCGGCCGAGGTGGCATCGGTGCGCGACATGATGAGCAAGGTCGCGGTGGATTCTACGATTCTGGGAGCGCTTCAGGCGAACGATGTGCACGACGGAGCCACCCTGCGATACGCCGACGGCACCGAGATCAAGATGAGTGGCCGAGGCACCACCAAGGCCATCGGAGAGAACAAGCTCAAGAGCCTCCGAGCGGTATGGGGTAGCTGAACGCGCACACACTGATCCAGGGAGGCTGGGCGATTGCCTCACACGGACTAAATAATATGCTTTGATGTCATGATGAGATTGATGACAGTGTGGTCAGTCAGGATATGAAAAAGATTGACTGTATGATATTGAGAGTGGCCAGCGAAGACACCTGAGACTCTTGCTCAAAGATCGTCCTCAGAGATTTGGGGGTCAGGCGGAAAAGGACGGTTTAGGGCCTGCGGGGCGTTCTATCGGAAGATGCAGCGTGCAGAACAGCAGCTGCGGGGCCAGAGAGAAAAGGGCCAATCGATTTCGAGTCTCGACTCGCGTGGGCGGGAAACAGGCAGGAGGGCAGCCCTTGGAGTCTCGACACCTCTCCGATCCATGCGCGCGTTCCTGGCCCGAAAAAAAAAAGAGGTCCTTCGGCCTTCCCTTTTGAGTCACACATCGGAAAACTGCTGATGTTGGGATCCCAAACAACCCCCCACCCGTGCTTCGCTCGTCTTCTTTCCTCCCAACCATCATCCATCCTCCCCTTCCTCGTCTACAGCAGGATCTCACTAGGATCCTTTGAGGCAAAGTTCACTCCTCAGCCATGCTGGAAACTTCGCAGGCCAACGCGCTGGTCTACTCCACGCTATGCGGCTTCATGCTTGTCGGTCTCTATGCCGGCTTCAAGGTTCGCAACACCACCGACTTCCTTTCGGGTCTCCGAACGCAGAGTGGTACGTACTGCGATGAAATGATATTGCACGTCGTTCTTTGAGCCTAGCTGACGCTTAACTTTGAATTTCCTGTCCCCGCAGTTTTGCCACTCACGCTTAACTGGATCGCATCAAGTTAGTATCCGGACTCGCAGTGCCCCTATTTTGAAGTTTTCCAAGTCCTGCCTCCATCATCCCACCGCTGCATACAGCGGACTCGAACGGATGCACGCAGAGAGGCAGGCAGGCCGCTCGCAATTGGCGATCCCGGTCTTGCTGCAACATTCTGTCCCAACACGACAGGTACGTACCCTTCGCGATCCCCCTTCCTCGATCATCTCGGATCTTCTCCTCCCGTCCTCTTGTCGCCCCTCGGCTCGACGCCTTTTCTCCTGATTTGATTTGGCCCTTTTGGGTTTCATGTCCTCCTCGGCCTTCAACGGCGAGGCGCAAGAAAGCCGACACCTGTACGGTCGCACCAGGATCACGAGAGCTTGCCTCAAACCGACCACCGAGATTCGCACAGCAAGTACGGAAGCCGACTCCACGAGTCGTACGCGACCACGAAGCCGTCCTGGCCAACGCCGCGGCAAGGAGTCAAGCAGACGTCAAGCCTTACAAAGACCAAACTCAATCAGTTTGGCATCAGCTACGGGTGCTTGCGTGTCTGGCCCGCAGAAGCCATCGCTTGGTCTCGTTACCGCGTGGTTGTGTGACTGCGGGTCCTCGGATCGGTGTGTTGGAGATGAAGGCTGGGCTTCGTGCCTCGCTCGAATCTGCAGCACACTGATTAGGCACGACGGGCTGAGATCATACCGTCATCGGCCTCCTTGGTTCGTCTGAGTGCTGCTGCTGTAGGGTGTTTGTCATCGAATCAGCCTTGTCTCTCGACATTGCTCGTTCGATGCACACTCGAAATAGCACACTGAGGCGGCCAGGTTGCTGATATTACCTGATCGAGTTAGGACTCGCGAAGGGAATGCTGCATGCCTTTTTATCCGCTACCCCACATGTATACTCTCTTTGTGCTCCTCTTGCTGGTCGTCGGTCTGCTCTAGGGTCTGCTCGCCTGCTGCGGCCTCGACGTCGGTCGAAGGCGACAGCAGTGCAGAGGCAAGGCAGGCTCGAGGGAAGACTGGCACCAGTGGAGCTCCTGTCTCAGTCCTGCCCGGTGTCTCGTCGAAACGAGATTGCTGCAGACGATTTCGCTGCTGGCGGCAGAGACGATGGACTTCATTTGGACAGCAACACGGCCTTGTAGGATCGCTTTCCTCGGCAGTTTCCTGCAGCATTTGTCTCGGCGCGCCTTGGTGCCGGAAAGACTTGCTAGTGGCTGCCGTGAAGGCGCACGCTCTTTGATTGTTCCATGGGCGCAGTCATGCGCGAAGGAAGTGGTCCTGCGAGATTCCGTCGTTCGTCCTCGTGGCCTCACCGTGCTCTGTCTCCGGCGAGATCGGTCTTGCACCATACTCGCGGTTGTCTGCTGACTTACTCACAAACCTGCCTTGCCTCATCTCGTTGTACATTTTTCCATTCGACAGACATGTCCTCGTCGCTCTTCTTCGGCTACCCTCAGCTGGCCGTCATCCCCAATGCCGGCATCCTCGGTCTGACCGCATACTGCTTCTCGACCGTCGCCCCGCTCTGGGCGTTCGGCTGGCTCGGACCCCAGATCCGACGCATCTGCCCCGACGGCTTTACGCTGGCCGAGTACATCCGACGCAGGTACGGCTGGCCTGTCGGTGTCCTCTCGGGACTCATCTTTGTCGGCTTCATGTTCTGCTTTATGCTTGTTGAACTCAACACGTACGGATCGACGGTCAACGTGCTCGGCGGTGTCAACCCGACCATCGCGGCGCTCATCGTGGCGCTCAGCACGACCATCTACACCGCATACGGCGGCTTCAAGGCGTCGCTGTACACGGACAACGTCAATGCGGTCATCATCATGATCTTTGTCGTGATCGCCACGATCGCGGTGGGTGTCAACCTCGACATCGACCACGCGCGCGTCGAGTCGTCGGGCCTGCTCAAGCCGCAGCGACTCGGTGGCGAGCTGTGGTACATCCTCACCGCCGCGCTCGTCTTCAGCCAGATGTTCAACCAGGGCTTCTGGCAGCGCGCGTTTGCGTCCAAGAACAACAAGACGCTCTACCTCTCGGTCATCTTTGCCACTGTGCCGCTCTTCGCCATCTGCTTCATCGTGGGTATGGCGGGTCCGCTGGCGTGGTGGGCAGGTCTGTTCGACGGCCCTACCGCCGAGGACGACGGATCGCTCACGTTCTTCTACATCATCAACACGCTGCCCAACTGGGTGACGGGCATTGTGATTGTGCTTGCCGGCTGCCTCAGTTCGTCGGCGTACGACACGTTCCAGTCGGCGCAGATTTCGACGATCCAGAACGACGTCTTCCTCGGCCGCGTCAACATCTGGTGGTGCCGTGCGATCCTGGTGCTGATCAATGTGCCGTCGGTGGTGCTGGCGGTCAAGAACATCGACATCCTCGAGGTGTTCCTCGTGGCCGATCTTGCGGCCATTGCTTGCATTCCGGCGTTCCTGCTCGGTCTGGTGCCGCAACTCTACTTCCTCAACGGCGTCGATGCGGTCGGTGGCGCCGTGGGCGGCTTCTTGACGGTATTCCTGTTCGGAACTGCCTTCTACGGCAGCGCCGAGCAGGGCATCAAGCTGCTGGGCCTGCCCAACGGCCTGTACATCGACGACTTTAGCGTGCTCGGCGCGTTCTTCGCCGCGCCGCTCGGCAGTCTCGGCTGGACGTTTGCCACGTTCGGCATGCGCGCTGCCGCCACGTGGGTGTACTGCCGCTACACGGGCCGCGCGTTCAACGTGTTCGAGTACCGCGAGTTCGACGTGGCCAAGTGGGCGCTCCCCGAGGACAGGCCGGCGGACTTCCACGGCGTGCACGGCTCGGGCAACCCCAACGACGGCCACAAGCTCGAAGACCCCGCCGTGCTTCCGGAAGGCGCCAAGCTCAAGCGATACGGCTCGGAGGCCTCCACCAACTAATCGCGTCGGCGACCTGGAAAGAAAGCTCCTTCTTCTGGATCGGATCCCCCAGCGCCGCGAGCTTGCGTTCAACACTCAAGCCCAACGCCAACCGCAAACTCAAACCAAATCTCGCTTCTTGCGATCTCCTTTTCCCGCTCATGCTCCAGTCTCTTTTCCTTTCCGCCTTGCGCACGCAAGCGCGCTAACTTATGCTCGGTATTGTGCCCCCCCCCCCCCCCCCCCCCCCCC